CTGGCGTAGAATTCAGCCCTACTGACTCCTAGTCCTCTCTTCTTTTTACTCCGTATTGAGAACACAAGGGGAAAAAGGATTTATCCTCATGGTTTTGGAGTATTGTTTCTCATGAGCTGAGCTGTCTAATCATTTGATAAGAGCTCTATAGGAAAAAAATCATCTTTTTAGCACTTGTTTTCCTTATGACTGTGTAATCGTGCCGTCTTTATTGTTATCAACATTTATTGATTTCTCACCTTAGCATGATAGACTCTCAGGGCTTAGTGATCTGGCCGTTTTACAGACACGATTCAGAGGTGAAGTTGATGAGCCTAGTGTCTCACAGCAAATTAACAGCTAGCAGAATTTACTAGAATCCAGACCCCTGGACTGTTAATAGTTATCTTTACACCACACCATGGCACCACTTTTCCATGTGCCACCAGCCACATCTGTGTAAAGAAAAGGTATTCACACTCCCTTCCTCAAGAACACACACAGGTGTGTGTGTGTGTGTGTGTACAAGCTTTGTGAAGGATGGTAAGATAAGTTTAAGAATCATTGCCTGAGAACAATTTTCTCTAACTCCTGGCCCCTGTTGGACCCCCTGATATTGTCCTTTGCTCTTTTCTGCCTTAAATCTCTGGTGTAGTTGTTCTGTACACTAGGACAAGAAAAGCAATGATGAAAATACGACAGTGCTACTTATATTTGTTTAGAACTTGTTACTTTTTTAAGATATATTTTTTAATCAAGATGGAACTTACAGTAAATGTACATATAGTAAATGGACAGATTTTAAGTGTGCAACTTGATGAATTTTTATACATGCATATACCTGTGTATTTACCACCCAGTTCAAAATATAGACCATTTCTGTTACCCCAGAAGGCTCTCTGGTGCCCTTCCCAGTCTTCCACCCCTCCAGGTAACCACTATTCTGAGTTCTGTCATTTTAGAGTAGTTATGCTGTTCTTCACCTTCATATAAATGAAATCATGCCTTTTGTGATTCATCCATGTTTTTATAGTTGTTCATTATTATAGCTATGTAGTATTCCCTTTTAAGATTATATCACAATTTATTCATCAGTTCTAATGACGGACATTTGGTTGTTCCAGGCTTTGGCCGTAATGAATAAACATGCCATAGTTATTCTTGTACATGTCTTTTGGTGAACATAATGTACAGATTTTTTGGTGGCATATTTCTAGGAGTTTGAAAGTAAAACTTAAATACTACAAAGCATTTTTTCATACTTTATTTCATCTGAGACTCCCCACAGACCCGTAAGATAGGGTAAATAGTAGTATTCCCATTTTATTTTTGAGGAAAATTAGTTACAGAAAGATCAGATAGCTTGCCCACGGTTACTGAGAAACTGACAGTGCTAAGGTTAGTTATGCTCTCCCACACTCGGTTGCTGGAGTTCCCTGCTGTACATGGAATAAGCTGCAGGTGGCGTTAGTGAAACCCAAATGTAGGCCATTTTTAAGCAAAATACATGCAAACCAAACAGATTTTTGCTCTTCCTGATGCATTTATACATCTGGATTGTGGGTGATTCTTTGGAATAGCCTGGTGGAAGCCATGTGTTATTAATTTGGGGATTTGAGCACAAGCTGATTGTTATTTTTTAGTCTATGGAGTTATAGGGCTAGGAGCCCCTATGAAGAGGTTATTCATTTTTCTGCTTCTGGCGAGGACTGGATTTCAAGAAACTTGAAAAGTAGTAGTTTAGCCATTTCATAAAGATCTCCAGGTAAGGAGGCTCTTTCTTGGGAACCCTGAGTAAATGGTGGTGGTTTGAGGAAGGAGAAGTATGCCACACAAATGTTCTATTTATTCTCGACTTTTTGAGCATATCATGAAAGGAAAGTACAAGAGGAAAGATGAACATTGACTCCTACCCTTTCTGCTGCATCAGAGAAACTGTGGCTTTGATAGAGAAGGCAGGCCTGTCACTGCATTCTCTATCTGCAGATTGCCTGTCACTGCGCAGCCGGGAAATTACTTGCAGTTAAAAACTCTGATGATGAGGAGTGGTAGTGTAAGAGATCAGTCTGGGCTGGGGCTTGGGAAAGAATAATGGATGGCAGCCCAGCTTTCCGGCATAATTTGCTTACGCAGAAATGCAAAGCAGATCTGTCAGGGAAATCAGTTGCAGATGTTTAACACTTGATGGAAATGGAGGTGTCAGTTTGCTGCTGCTCCTCTCTTCTTCGGAAATTAGCCGTGTCTCAGAGATGTGCCATTTGTATTTCATTGTATATACCGTGGTCGTACTGCACAAACAGCCCTATCTTAATTTATCCTTTAATTACAGCACGAAAGGGGCTTTGCAGGTGTGAAGGGAGTGGGAATTAGAGTTTTAGAGGCTGAGAGCCAGAGAATATTTGGGATTTTCCAGATTCATCAGTAAGTATCTAGGAGTCCTTGGGTGGCACAGATGGTTAAGTGCTCAACTGTTAGCCAAAAGGTTGGCAGTTCAAACCCACCCACAGATGCCTTGGAAGACAGGCCTGGTGATCAGCTTCCGAAAGGTCACAGCCTTGAAAACCCTATGGAGCACTCCTGTTCTAGACACAGGAGGTCGCCGTGAGTCAGAATGGAGTGTACTGCAACTAACAACAACTATGTATCAGGTTATAAAAAAAAACAATGTAAAGACGTAGTGGGCTTGGAACCACTAAGCCTATAGAGTTTGTAATCTGTTTGAAAGGTGCCATCATTTGTGGTGCCACAGAAGTTCATGGCAGGAATTGGCTCTTCTTTTTATTCTCTTCACTGTGACTGGTAAGTCTTATCTTTTAGCCATATATTCCTGATACAGGGACAGTCATGCAGACATTAATGATAATATGTAGGAAAGGAGAAGAATGAAATAAATACTTTTTTTAATAGTGATAATATTTAGGAAAACCATAAATAAAGATTAATTTGGGATTCGAAGATAAGACAGAGTTTAATCTTTAGACATAAACCATATCCAGTTAAATGTAAAGGAACTCCGGTGGCACAATGGTTAAGCACTTGGCTGCTAACAGAAAGGTTGGTGGTTCAAACCACCTAGCGGCTCCATGGGAGAAAGACCTGGTAATCTACTCCCATAAAGATTATAGCTGGTAAACCCTATGGGGTAGTTCTACTCTGTCCCATGAGATCAACTTGACAGCACCTAACAACAACAACAAATAAATGTATGGGTTTCCTGTTCGTTTACATGTATTTGGCCCTCAGCCATCTTTATTAGTAATCTCCCAGAAAAATAAATAAAATTAATGACACAGAAGCTGCATTACAGTTCTGTTCCAGACTGTACTCCCCCCATTGGTAGGATTTTCTGTCTCCTCTACCATTGGTTCTAGCACTGAACATGGTCCAGTTTAGGGTCACCAAAGGGCTGTGGAAAGATACATAAATATCCTTAGAAGAAGGTAAATTCCTTAATCCCTCAGTCAAAATTGGGGTTAGTGAATGATGAGGTGGTTTTGAATGAGGAAAAAGAATCCAGAAGACAAGTTGAATCAAAAAAGCAAATTGTCATGGTTGCATCCACGGTGCTGAGGGGCAGCACACAGTTCTGCAGAGGAGATGGCCTCCCTCCACTGTTGTCATTTTGTAGATAGTGGCTGATAGAACCTTGCTCTTAGATGCAATTTGCTACATGCCTTGGAGGAAAAGAGTTCCCACCAATACCTCTTGGAAGGACACGATGGAAGGCAAGAGTGTTCAGATCCTTTTCAAGGGCACTCACTACCCTTTTTAAATCTGAGTTTCGGTCCTAGATTCTTGCAGACTCAGTCAGGGACCTTGCTTTTCTGTGCATCTGCCCTTTAGAAGTTCCAGGTCTAGAACCCTGCTGCTGAACAGAAGAGTACATTAGAGGTTTTCTTATCCATCTCCCTGTTTTCAAAAAACACAAATTGAAGGGTTTCTAGAATAGGAAATTAAACAACCTCCCAAGCCTAACCATTTTTGTATTTCATATCTCTTACCAGAAATCTGCCTTTTTACCTCGTTTGTCCTCAGTGGAGAATAATCTTTAAGTTCAGAGATTTGAAACTATACTTACGCTCCCTTTAAAAGAGACCAAAACATACTGGTTTGGAGTACAGGCAGTCCCTGGGTTACAAATGTCCAAGTTACCATTTAATAGACTTACGGACAACTCATACTTGCCCTTTAATGTTATGTAAATTTTCCGTCAACTTTAAAATGATTGAACCAACCTCTAAAAAACAAAACCCATTGCTGTTGTGATTCTGACTCATAGCAACTCTATAGGACAGGGTAGAGCTGCCTCAGGGTTTCCAAGGCTATAAATCTCTATGGAAGTAGATCGCCACATCTGTCTCCTGTGGAGTGGCTGGTGAGTTCGAACCATCAACCTTTCGGTTGGCAGCTGGGCGCTTTAACCACCATGCCACCAGGGCTCCTGAACTAACCCTACTCGGAACAAATTCTTCGTCACAATCACCTTCACTTGGTGCATGTGCAGCTTTTAAATCACTGAAAAGGCTTTGAGCTTTAAAGTAGGCTGAATAAGAACTGTATGCATCTGTTCTGACTTACCTACAAATTCGATGTAAAGACACAGTTAGAAACTGATCTCATTTGTAACATGACCAGGAGACTGTCTGTATTTGGTTGTTTTGTAACCTTCACAAGCCACCTTATCCTCTGTGAAAGCATAAATGGAAATATCAGGTGTCCACAGTGCTTGATACAGGGCCCTCCACAGTCACTGTCTGGACAAGCCACAGCATCTCCCTTTTCCCAAGAATTTTCTCTGTTGACTGTATAGTATGTACTGTTGAGACTCAGATTTGGTCCTCTCAAGTCCAGAGTCAGGTGAAGGAGAGTTTGTCAAGGTGATGGTTTCTTTGGACCATTTGCAGTGAGACTTGGCAGAGCAAGTCTTCTTAGGTTTGCCTGTGGCAATGCTAGCAGATTGTTTCCTCTATCAAAAGAGGTAAAATGTCATTTTGGTACTATGATTGACTTTCTGTTCACAGTTTCTAGCCCTCGAAGAAAAACCAGATGAAGAGGCAGCCATATATGAAGAAGGTGGTGATGTGGATGATTTAGTAAGTACTTCTGATATATACCAGGTGCTCCAATGATTGAAATCACTTGAGCTGTAAATACAGCCAGAAAAGCTGCTTGTCATAGACTTCTTATTTGTGTTTTCATTCTTAACACACCAGAAGCTTCCTACACTATTATTTATTACCATTATGAATTTAGTCCGATAGGTAATTTCATAATGGAAATTTCTGTGCTCTGTGGTTTCAGTTATATTGTTCATTCAGATTAATCCTCTCCTTTAAAGGGCTAAAAAAGAACTAGGAAGGCTATTCCTTTACTAGCAAAATGTTATAATTTACTGAAATTGCTCCTCACCAAAAATAAGCAATACAACATGCAATTTGTGTGGGTTGACAAATAAAAACAGCCTTTAAGGAGCCTAATTCTTGAATGTTCTCAATTAACAATATAAATAAAACAGACTGATAGGCGTTTGAAGGTTTCTGGACCTCATTACAAGTGGGTGCCTCAGAGACTGTGTAAGTGTTGGCTTTTGTATCCAGCTTTCATGTTTGGAAACTTCCTGCCTTTAAGTCTCACAAGACAATTGCCCAGCAAAACTACCTCCTATGCTTTTAGACTTTTTGTGGTGCAGTTCTTAGTGTGGAGATGAGGACATACTTCGTATTTAACTCCAGCAGTGGTTAGCAGTGAGTAAGTGTGCATGTGTATGAATGCCTACCAATTAAACCCTGCCACCAGCATAACAGTGGTCTGAAGTTGCCTGACTCCTTTCTGATTATGTTGTTCTTGTTTACAGCTGGACATGATATAGGTCATGGGGCGTATGAGGCGTCTAAGAGAGTCGAACTGCATTGTCATGGCTGTGGTGCTGGCAGTTCTTACACAACAGCCTGGAGGAGGCCATTCAAGGGGAACCGGAAGCTCTGGAGACCAGATTACATGGAAGTGAACTGCACCTGATTCTCTGTGGAATGAATATGTACACAGATATCATGAGGGTTAATTTAGGTATTATACAAGTTATAGAGTCATTGTTATTTTTGATGGTGTATTATTTCTTTTGTGGTCTTATTGATCTCAGTATATTACTCACATGCTTTGAGGTTTCTGAAAAATAACTTATTTTATCCTGATTTGGTGTATTGGTGAAGATTGAGGTCCTCACAGAGTTAACATCTTATCCTGAACCATGGCATGGTCATTAGTGACTTTTTCCAATCCTTTCCAGGAGCAGGACAGTCATAGATGTAGTCCTTTGTCTGATCCTTTAACAGCATTCCCAACTTGGGCTGATCAAGCAGTGGCATTTGTTTCCTACCAAGCGAAAACTGAGTTAGGGAAGTCATAGGTAAAGGCCAACTCATTTCTCTTTCTACTTAAGCCTTTTAGTTACCACATTCAGAGTACAAGCCTTCAGGAGACGCAGCATAGGTAGGGAAAGAACGCTGGACTAGCCCAGATCCTTACGCGTGAGGTTTGATATTGTTCCCATGAAGAAAAGACTCTCTTCTGGCCCAGCCTCTGTCATATTAGTGAACCTTAAAAGAAAGAAAAGCTGAGAAATTCACCACTAATACTTAGAAATGTATCATTTTATTAACCTCTACTTGCAGGTCTCAAAGGAAGTTTGGTTGTATTAAAACACTTTTTCCTTAGTTTTCCAGTCTGTCCCATCTCTATCTAAGTCTACCTTCCTGTCTCTCTGCATGATCTTTTTTTTTTTTCTTAAAATAAGAAAATAATCCTTAGTGTTCTTTTTCCTGTTCCCATTCCTTCCCTGAGTTTTAACCCTTCCTGATGTCACAAACTTCTTGTACCCAATTCACATGTCCTCAACACCCCCCATGTAGGTAACCAATACAATTTTATAAACATAATGATAAAGTTATAAATGACTCACACTCCTGTGGATTGCTGTTAATTACTAATGCTCTGCAACAGAGTTCTTCAGTGTTTTGCTGAGGATTGAAGGCCCTCTGTGCATTGATTGAAAATGGATCTCCAAGAGAGAACATCATTCAGTCCTCTGAGTGGTTCACAGTCCACTGAGTGGTTCACTGTGGGCCTCTACGACGATACTCAATGCTTTGCACACTTTGTTCAATCTTGACATACATACAGGTGCCCATTAAAAGTACTCCCAATGAAGGATACCATATATATATTACTGTCTAGTCAGATAGTTAAAGTCTAATGGATGTTTGTGACTTGGTCAATACAAAGACATTTCTTAGAATCATAAAGCAAGAAAACTTTGTTCTTTAAATTCTACATTATCCTTATCAGATACTCCTGACAATAAGAATTGCCTCAATGAGTACGACCCTATAAGCAGTTTGGGGAATATTCTCTCTTAGAAACAGCAACCCTTCTGTCAAGCCAGAATAAGTTTGAATCAAGTTAGTCCTTTAGATCTTCTGATTCTTTTTGATTTAGGTTGTATGCTGCAGGATTATTTGTGCGTCCCTAACTCCACTTTTACCTAAATTATCTGAGCACCTGAAGGAAGAAACGAGTTTGACAAGCTGGGGAGAGAAAGTACTAAATTAGCCATGTAATTTCCAAATCCATTTCATTGTATGCTATGTAGACACAGTATATGTGCTGTGTAGACTTGGTCATAGCATACTGTTTTGAGTAGGGCATCATGTTTTGGATGAACACACCAAAGTCCCATTTTGCTGAAATGAGATTTTCAGATCCATAGAACCCCCGGCTGTTCTGTCGACTATGCCTTGCAGAGCAGCAAGCACTACGTCAGCTTCAGGCAGCCCCAGGCTAGTCCTCAGAAGCCCCTATTTCCTACAAATGGTAGGCTGTATATAAATTGGAAGTCACTGACAGTGGTCCCTGTCACCTTTAGTCTTCTTATAGCACTAAAATCTATTGACTTAGAGAGAAGGGAGAGATAAAGGGGAGAGACTCAGCCTCCAGTCACAACCCAAAGGTCCCCATGCATTTCCAAATGCCCCATCAAGGGTGTATGCAACCCTGCAGTTAAAAACCACTAATTTAAGTGTTGAATCTCAATCCTTTGTTAATTAATTTACATGTGGAATTTAGAATCTTGTAAAATTATTTGGAAAACCATGTTGGGGAAGAGCGTTACCTAGTTCAGAATGGTTTTGAAAAATAAATGAGGACAGATAAATCTGAATGTATATAGTACAAATGACTGGCTTTGCAGCTAATTTTAATTCAGGGAACAGAGATTCTGTTTGGTCTACTACCTCCCATTGGCCATCTCATATTGTCCCCTTCTTCTCCGTGAGGTATTCCAGATTCAGAACATGAGCTGGTGGCCCATTCAGAGTAGATGCTGTGAAGGGCCGCAGTGTGGGTAGGGAAAGAACTATGGTACCTCCTGCCTTGCTAACCACCCCTCCCTGTTAACTCTCTGCTGGAGCTAAATACTCAAGGCGCGAACAACAAAATGGAAATCAGCATACTACCTTAGTATTAGCTTGTTTCAAAGATGTTTGGAACAGCTAGGCTGTAGCACATGGCTTAGGTTTGTAGTCTACCTCCTACCTCCAGATCTTAACCACCTACCCTGAGATGAAGAGAGCAAGATCATCTGGTTGGACCCGGCTTTCTTGCCTGATTGGCAGCATGGAGCAGAAGGTGGAAATGCATATCAAGTTTAATATACATATAACCTATTAGGGGTTTTAATGACCCTGATAAATATAGCCCAATCACCAGTCACATTTATACGTCTGCCTCCCTGTAGTGGGCAGGGAAATATTAGGAGGGAGTGGGGAGTGGGAGCTTCCCCCATCCACCACCCTCACCCCGACATGGAGTCAGTTCACTTAATCAGTAGAATTGATAATCCCTGCTTGGATAGTATTGGCTTTCTGTGGTCATTTTTGAAAGGAAGGAAAATACTTCTTTTCTCTGTCTGAATGTAGCTCAGGAATAGACTTCTATCTCTTCCATCTCTTCTTTAGAGAGACATAGTGGCATAGTGCTTCAAAGCATCACCTGGACGTTAGGTATTCCTGGGTATAAGTGCCAGCAGCAGCACTTACCAGCAGTGTGGCCATAGAAAGCCTTTTAGCCTTTCTAAGCAACAGAATATGACTGTCACTTGCATTTCAATTGTGGGCAGGATGTCCTGGGAGAAGACGGTACCTTCTCGGTCAAAGGGAGTTCACAGACGGCTTTGCAGGAGCTGCTTGAATGATGAGAATGTGTCTTGCCTGGAGGAAGCAGCCCCAGACACATGTGCCATTCACCACCTCACCTGTTACCTTTCCCAGGCCCGCTGCCTTTGCCCAGAGGATTGTGGGGTGGATAAGGGCACCGACTGGGGTCAGGCAGACCTGAGTGGAGGCCTTTTCTGTCATGTCTTAACTTAGGTGCATCTCTGAATTTCTCTAAGCTCCCAGACCTTTCCAGTGTGCTGGTAATTATACTGGTCTTCATAGGGTTATGGTTAGGATTAATAAATGTGGTGTTAATGGTATATAATATATTGGCATAACAACATGGGAAATAAAACTTATTTTGTAGCAGCATCTCTTTTGAGAACAGATTTGGTTTGTTGGGTAAATTCTTTGATGAACTACTTGGGGGGATCAGGGTGGCAACAGAATGGGGAGGGGGGTGGTAGAAGGAAGTTGACATTCTGGGGGTAAGCTAGTGGAACAACAAAGGTGGGGGTGGTCCAGCTGATTACCAGCCTTTGCTTTGATGAATGTTATAAATGGAGACAAAGTTTTAGAGATGGAGAGGAATGAAGAGAAAGGAGTGACTGGGCAGCTGGCAGGGAGGGGAACTTTGGGGGTATTGGGAAACACTAATGTCTATAGGGTATTCTTAATTTTATCTTGTGTGAAGTGTGAGTGAATCTCCATCTTCCTGCTGAATATTCAGTAAAATACCTATTTCTCACTAATGTGTTTGGAGTTGATCATATTAGAGGATGCATATAAGTATTGTATCCTGTCGCCTGCATCAAGGAGGGCAAGGGCAAAACAGGCTGCCTGTGGGGAGTCTGTTCATCTCTGAATTCCATGGATGTCTTGTTACTTAAACCTGAAACCAGTCAAATGTAGGTGACAGTGTGCTCTGCTCCTCCTTAGGTTACAATATAACGCCCCTACGCCTCTACATGATGGCCAAGATCAAATATCTGTATACTCCCCTTTCAGAAGGAAGAACAAAAATGAGCTCTGTTCTTGAAAGTAACTGCAGATAACAGCTCAGCCAGGAAAGCACAAAGGTAGCATGTGTGAGACATTTATCACTGCTCATAACTTTAAAATTGCATACCAAGCTGTTGGGTTTGAATTTTGATTAAGTAAGGGCAGATCGGGGCACCATCAAACACACTGTCAAAAGATTCACACACATATTCCATGTGGCCACATCTTTTTAGTTGTTTATTTCACAGGTTGCTGTGTCTGTTTCTAGTGTTATGACTTCATGCCCTGCTGAGAGATCTCCTCCCAAGGTTTTGGAAACGTGAAGGAGATCCTTCTCCCACTTCTTTGGGAGTCTTCACACTCAGTTTAAAACAGTCCTGCCCAGGGGCAGAGAGAAAGACATGTTAAAACCCAGCAAACCTAAACAATCTTATATAATGTATGTGGGACTTTTATGTATCTCCACCCTAGGAAGAATAAAAGATTGAAAAATAACTTCCATTTCTTAGCAGTGTGCATTGACAGAAGTTGACAGAGGGTATGGTTAAAAGAAAGTCATAGGGCATTTCTGAAGCCAGATGGTATAATACTCCAGCCTCACCTGGAAGTGTCTGATAGGGGTTGAAAACACCTAGCAGATGCTGTCCTGAATCTGTCCAGTCATTTCTGCAGCTTTAGCAATACCCAAGAACTGTATAAGTCAACACTGAGTGCTTATGGCCTGTGTCCCAATGTTTGCCAGATAAGATGAACAGAGAATGTACTCACCCCTAAGAAGCTTAGAGTCTGTCTCAAACCAGACTAATAAAAAACTGAGGAATGAGATCTATGCAAAGTAATATAGAAATACTAGCCCAATCCTGACTATTTTTACTAAACCAAAAACAAAAAACCAAAGTCATTGTCGTAGAGTCAATTCCAACTCATAGCGACCCCATAAGAAAGAGTAGAGCTGCCCCATAGGGTTTCCAAGGAGCACCTAGTGGATTTGAACTGCTGACCTTTTTTGGTTAGCAGCCAAGCTGTTAACCATGGAGCCACCAAGGCTCCTGTTTTTGTTTTTTTAAAACCAATGTACCTATGGCTGGAGGTTTTCACATATGAACAAAACTGAGACACCACATTCCACCTGCCTTGAGGGACATCACGGGTGTGGACTGTGGGCTTGTCATGGATTTGAATTATGTCCCCCCAAAAATGTGTATCAATTTGGCTAGGCCATGGTTCCCAGTATTTTGTGGTTGTCTTCCGTTTTGTGATTGTAATTTTACGTTAAAGAGGATCAGGATGGGATTGTAACACCACCCTTACCCAGGTCACATCCCTGAGCTAGTGTAAAGGAGTTTCCCTGGGGTGTGGCCTGCAGCACCTTTTACCTCTCAAGAGATAAAAAGAAAGGGAAGCAAGCAGAGAGTTGAGGACCTCATACCACCAAGAAAGCAGTGCCGGGAGCAGAGCGCGTCCTTTGGACCTGAGGTTCCTGTGCTGACATGCACCCAGACCAAAGGAAGATTGATGACAAGGACCTTCCTCCACAGACGACAGAGAAAGCCTTCCCCTGGAGCTGACGCCCTGAATTTGTACTTGTAACCTACTAGACTGTGAGAGAATAAATTTCTCTTTGTTGAAGCTATCCACTTGGCTATTTCTGTTACAGCAGCACTAGATGACTAAGACAGAATTTGGTACCAAGAGAGTGGGGTGCTGATACCTAAAATGTGGAAGCGGTTTTAAAACTGTGAATGGATAGCGGAGTGGCAGTGACAGAGGACCAGCAGCAGCAGAGAAGCAGCAGTAGCAGAACCAGGAGACCAGGGTAAGATGGCGCTGGAGCCAACACACAGAGCGAGAGAGCTGAGTGCCTGTGCACAGGAGGCTTCCTGGTGGAGTGCGGTGCCTCCAGGCGCTTACTGGTGGAGCTACAGAGCTTTGGAACACTTGCCCCAGAAGGGCAGATGAGGGCGTTGAGGCTGGAGGAGCCGGGAGGCCAAGAAACCAGGAAGCAGAAGCTGAAGAGACAAGAAACGGAAGAAGCAGAGCTGCCTCGATCTCAAAAGGTATGGCCATGACCTCAGGGGTTTCAAAGGGTGGAGCCATGGCCTCTGGTGTTTCTAAGGGTGGAGTTGCCACAGAGATAGACTAGTAGAATGGGGCAGCTAAAGCTGAGGAAACAGAGTTGCTGTCTCAGTGTGCCTGGAAGGCGAGGCTGAAGCCCAGGGCCGAGGGGCCTCCAGTCAGAATCTGGAGAGTGTGGCCAATACCTAGAGTCTAGAGGACAGGGCTGTTGTGTGAAAAGTCTCAGAAAACAGAATTATTTTGAAGCCTTGAGGGCTAATGTAATGTGTTACTGCTAATTTGCTTGGTGCCTGTTCCTTCTTTCCCTGCAATTTCTCCCATTGGTAATGGAAGTATCTAGCTTGTGCCTGTTCTGCCATTGTACCTTTGGAAGGAGATAACTTGTATTCTAGATTTCACAGATGAGGAGGAATTTTTGGATTATGGACTTGGAGTTAGACTTTTGCTATGATATGATGGGATGAATATGTTTTGCATGTTACAAGGATGTGATTTTTGGGGGGCCAAAGGGTAGAATGTCATGGATTGAATTATGTCCCCCCAAAAATGTGTGTATCTATTTGGCTAGGCCATGATTCCCAGTATTATGTTGTTGTCCTCCATTTTGTGATTGTAATTTTACATTAAAGAGGATCAGGATGGGATTGTAACACCACCCTTACCTACTTCACATCCCTGATCCAATGTAAAGGGAGTTTCCCTGGGGTGTGGCCTGCAGCACCTTTTATCTCTCAAGAGATAAAAAGAAAGGGAAGCCAGCAGAGAGTTGAGGACCTCATACCACCAAGAAAGCAGTGCCAGGAGCAGAGCGCGTCCTTTGGACCTGAGGTTCCTGTGCTGAGATGCTCCCAGACCAAAGGAAGATTGATGACAATGACCTTCCTACACAGCCGACATAGAAAGTCTTCCCCTGGGGCTGTCGCCCTGAATTTGGACTTGCAACCTACTAGACTGTGAGAGAATAAATTTCTCTTTGTTGAAGCCATCCACTTGTGCTATTTCTGTTATAGCAGCACTAGATGACAAAGACAGGGCTAAAGGAGGTCTCAGGCCATTCTGAACACTCTACTTGCACATCATCAAAATCTGGTAGGTTTCCCAACATGATAAAGGGCATTTATGAAAGCCACTCAGTGGGGAAAAACTGAAAGCTTTCCTCCTAAGATCAGGACCAAGGTGAAGGATGCCTTCATCACTGCTATTTGACATTGTACCAGAAGTTCTAGACAGAGCAATTAGGCAGGAAAAATAAAAGGCATCCAAATTGGAAAGGATGACATGATCCTGTATACTGAAAATTGCAAATAGTCCACGAGAAAGCTACTAGAGCTAATAAATGAATTCAGCAAAGTTGCAGGGTACATCAGTTGTTTCTATATACCAACAATGAGCAAACAAATGGAAATTAAGAAAAATTCCATTTACAATAGCATCTAAAAGAATAAAGTATCTAGGAATAAATTTAACCAGGAAGGTGAAAGACTTGAAAACTATAAAACATTACTGAAAGAAATTAAAGAAGACCTAAATAAATGGAAAGACATTCTGTGTTCATGGGTTAGAAAACTTAATATTGTTAAGATGTCAGTCAATACAACCCAAAGTGATCTACAGATTCAATGTAATTCTTATCAAAATTCGAGTATATATATAGTCAACATTCTTTGCCAACCCCACAATTTGAATACATCAACACTTCCTGCCATCTACCCTAATGCTCAAGCCTCTCAAATCTTCCTGGTCATGTCATCTTGGGCAAGTTACTCAGCTATTATCAGTGTTAAGTTTCCACAACTAACATAAATGGTAAACTGTAAAATAGAGTTTATGTTAATAGTCCCTAACTTACAGGGTTGTCAGGGTGAAATGAGGTGGCCCACATAAAATGCTTGGCACACGGTAAGTGCACAGTAAATATCTTCCATTATTATCAGCCCCGTCAATTCTGTGTGTCTTCCTTCTCTACGCCAGCATCTGTCTGGCTTTAAAATGTCCTGCTCTGCCCAATAATCCACTACGTGGATTAGCTAGTAAGTAAGGACTCCTGGAGAGACAGCTGCATCTCTGTCCTTAACTTGCTCTGCGATCAAGAGTACATCAGTCAAATAGGCCATCTGTTTTCCTCCTACAAAATGGACAGCTGCCTCTCTCGGGATGTTGGAGGCAGAAAGTGAAGAATGGGAAGCTCTCTAACAAAAAATTCAAAGACAGCTTGAGTTCTAGATGGGAGGAGATGTGTGTGTGTGTGTACACGTGCGCTTCAAGTCTTGGAACTTGAGTAGATTGGTCACACCACAATGTGTCACTTCACCTGCCTCC